AGCCATTCCTGTAGAAGAGAGCAGTGCAGGAGGGTCATTCTGTTTATTACAACTTGGGTCTGAAGCCCTGAAAAAGCCATTTCAGACTGAAAACCACTGGACAGCTCTTTGTCTTGTTAAATTATTAAAATTTTCATTCAAATTCACACTTTTGAACCAAGTTAAATGGTGAAGTTGTAGATTCTGTGTTGTGTGAAATGTGTTTTTGGTTTAAATGGGGCGTTTCCTCACTGTTTGTTCTTTCAGAGTGGACCATGGTGGAGAGCACAGGCTAAAACGTGGTCTGCAGAAGTGTACGTATATTACATTATACACTGCACATTAATATAGAACGTGATGTTTAAGTGTTGTGTCATGTTCATGGTCTCTGTTTTATGTGCTTTTAAATATACTTACGTGGTTTGTATTTGGATTAATACAAAATATTGTGAGACTAACACACGTTCTTGTGTCTTTGTGGTGATGACAGTCCTTCACAGGGCGCATTCTTAATGACATTTGTATTTGCAATATAGAGTAAGAGTAACTGCCCAGTTGTTAGTATATGTGTCCTCCTACCTTCTGCTTTATTGTGTCTGATTCTCTCCATCAGATGCTTGTGAACTCACACTGGACCCAAACACAGCTCACAGAAGTCTTCTTCTGTCTGAAGACAACAAACGGGTGACATCTGCGAAGGAGGACCAGCCTCATCAGTTTCATCCAGACAGATTTGACACCATCGTACAGCTGCTCTGCAGCAACGGGCTGACCGGACGCTGTTACTGGGAAGTCAAGACTAAAAACTGCTTTACTATAGGGGTGACTTACAGAGGAATCAGCAGGAGAGGAAAGGGTGCTGACTGCCAGCTTGGAGGAAATGACAAGTCCTGGAGTCTGTGCAACAATTGGTGTTCATGGCAAATTAGGACCAGAACACGTACAGGGTCTTTCAAAAGCTCTGACAGAATAGCAGTGTATCTAGACTGGCCTGCTGGCTCTGTGTCCTTCTACAGAGTCTCCTCTGACACTCTGATCCATCTCCACACCTTCTACAGCAGATTCACTGAACCTCTCTACCCTGGCTTTGGCTTGGACTCTTCAAATTACTCTCCAGCCTCAGTGTCTTTGTGTCCACTGATGAGTGAACAAAGTCAGACAGAAGTTTAGTCTCTGCTCTGTTGAGATGTGATCCCACGACAGTGGAGCTGCATTAGGAGTGAACAGAGGAAACCACAAAGC